CTGCCGTTGAGCCGTGTGAGCAGCCTGCCTTGACAGCCCCTCTTCCAGCTCCTGGCCTTTCATTTTCCCCGGCTCTGGTGGTGCCTCTCATCAGTGGAGGCTGCATCCCCTGCACAGTGCAGATCCACCTCACAGCTACGTCCTGCTGGCAAACCCTGAGTCACACACATGTGGCAGAGGCTTAAATTCCTGCAGCCAAGTACCCCTAACTCTGCCCTTCTGGGAGGTGCTGCACAGCTGGTTTAAATTCAGCCAGCTTGAGGGCAGCATCTTGCCACGGGCTGAGTGTGCAGGTACAGAATCCAGCAAGCACAGCAGGATGTGCCTGCACTTGGTGTGATGCCGAGAGGATGGGGATGCTGATCCATCCCTTCCTGGCATGGCTTGGTGCAGCAGGGCAGTGTTGGGTGGCAGAGACTGGGTGTGGTGACACAGAGCCCTGTGCCATCCCACGCTCCCTGTGCAGAGCTGGAGACAGCTCTGCTTCGGCCCAGGCTGCTCTTGCAGGGCTGGTGGTGTCCCCCTCAAGTTGTGGGGTGGGGAGGGAGACTGCCCCCAGCAGCAAGAGGATGTGGCCAGACACTTTTCCTCTGGAGCAGATGTGGCTGGGTGACAGGAAATCTGGGCGCTCATGCTCCCCCTCCGCAGTGATTATGGGGTGGTGTGGCCACGGGCAGGACGCTGCTGCCTTGGAAAGAGGCTGCCCTGGCTCCAAGCTGCTTCCTCTGCTCGGTGCGAACAATGTGGCCCGGAAAGCCATCCTGCCTGTGTCGTCCCCCGGGAGCCCTTGTTTGCAGCCAGAGGATGCCTGACCAACCTCTGCAAGGCATCTCCAGCTGCAGGCAAGGGGGAGCCCCCGTGATTCCTGGGCTGTCCCTGTGCCCTGGGAGCAGGATGATGCACTGGGCCACCTGAGGGCCACCTCCTGCCTCTTATCCTGCCAGGGACTGTAGGTGTCAGTGAGATCCCTCTTGCTCTGCATGGCCCAGGGATGCCTTGGTGTGTGTGGGGTGTATCCGTCACGGAGGAGCAGGGATTTACAGCTGCTGGAATATTATAGAGGGGGAGCTTTGTGGGAGCATCTCATCTCATGGGAGCAGGAAGGAGCTGGTGTGGGCTGTGGCCAGCTGTAATTGCAATGGCCTCTGGAAAACATCCGCCAGGAGCTTCCTCCTTGCTTTCTACCTGGGGCTGTGGTGGTGCTGGGTCGGGGTGAGGGGGGAGCTGGGGTGATGCAGCCAAAGTGCAGCCTGGCCTGGCTGTGCATCCACTGTGACAAAGCCGAGTGGCTCTTTGGCCCTGAGCCTGTGGCTCAGCTTTCAGCCCATCACGCTCCATTTCCCTCCCTGGTCTCCCCTGGGAGGCACCCATTCCTGCCAGGGAGGGCTGGGAGGATGCAGACCTCCTGCAATCACCCCAGGGCAGTGGGGTGCTGGGACCTCTCTGTCCCCCTTGCTTTTGGGGAATACCTGAGGGGCTCTGGGCTGTGTGCCCTGGGGCTGGTCCTCTGCTCCTAGAGATGGATAAGGGCTTCAGAGGCAGTGGAGGGCAGGGTCCAGCCCTGTGTCCTTCCCTGTGTGCTGTCTGCTGTGAGGGGCTGAGGAGACTTGAGCCCCTGGGCTTGGGCCTGGCAGGGATTTGCCCTAGCAGCTTTGAGCAGGCAGACACAGCCCCCCAGCTGTGGTGGGGCATCTCTTCACCCCCTGTCTGCCCCCACCTGGATTTGGTCCAACAGCCTAGACCCATGTGTGGCATCACCAGGATGTGGGTTTGGAGCTGCTTCTAGCTGCTTCCAGTCCCCCAAGTGTGTTCTCCATGTACCTGCCTGGAGATAGTCTCAGGGGTCTCCCTTGCACCCTGGTGGAGTGGCTTTGATTCTCCTCCCTCGTGCTACCTCCCCTGCCACCAGCCATCCTGCTTTGCATGGGGATTGAATTTTTGGGTGGTGATGGCATTGTTTTGGCTTATCTTGGCCTCGCGGCGTGCCCCGGACACAGCTGTTTGCCTTGGGAGGAGGGTGGCTCTGGAAGCCAGGACCTGCCCTTGGGGAGCTCTTGACCCCCATCTTGACTGGATACAAACAGGTGACACTTGCTGAGGTCCTCAGGGGGGAAGCCCTCCATCGCAGAGGAGGTCCTTTTGTAGGGTGAGGCTGGCTCCAGTTGTGCTTTTATTTGCTTGTTAAATATTTTATTTGGCTCTCCTGATTTAGTTTTACGGTGGCTTTAATGGCCTCACACTGTTTTCCAGCTGTCTCTGCACATGTGAGAGGGAGAGGGAGGGCCGGAGGGATCGGGGGGGGGGGGGCACAAAGCAACCCTTGGCCCCCCAGGAGCTGGAAGGGAGAAGGGATTGGTCCGAGGCTGGCGATGCAAGACGAGCACTGGCAGCCTGTGCTGCCTCCCAGGGTACTTCTGGATACATACAGCTCAGGGCCAGCCAGAGGGATTCTATTCATATAACCAGTTTCAAAGCATTTGCCTTCCCGGAATTTGCCCACTGATGCTTTGAAACTGTTCTCGGTGCTGGCTGCGAGTTGCTCTGCAGGTTCGTGACCATGCATGGACGGTACTCGTCTGCCTGCCCCCAGGCTGGGGGTCGGGGGGGGCCACCCACATGCCCAAGGGACAGGTGTTTTCCAGGACCAAACATCCATCCTGGGTGACACTGGAGGCTGTCTGTCATCCTGTCCTCCTGGGACCAGCTCTGGCTGAGGGCTGGAGCTGTGGCCCAGGCTCCCTGGGGAGCCCGAGAGGCTGGGTGTGCATGGGGGAGGCATGACTAAACGGGCAGGGTGGGCATGGAAACGCCAAATATTTGAATGGGAGCAGAGTCATTCCGGGTAACGTGGTGGGTAAAAATAGACATGGGGAGTAGGAGGGAGAGCGCTACTGTTGCTGGACTGTCGCGTGGGAAAGGGTGTCTGTGGGATGGCAGCTAGGTGGGTGTCCTGCTTTCAGCTGGGATAGAGTTAATTTTCTTCTTGGTAGCTGATGCAGTGCTAAGAGGGGGTCAGAGGCTGGCAGCGCTGTGCCCGTGTCCCTCACAGCCACAGGGACGCTGTGGGCTGCAGCAGAGTGGTCCCTGGTCCCTGCAGAGTGCCTGATGTGCACAGTGTGCTGGTGAGCAGCCTCCCTTGAGCATGTGCAGCCCCCCATGGTGCCCACAGCCTGGCTTCACCAGGGGCTTTAGCAGGTGCTGGGGAGTTGCTCACCCCTCTCTTGTGTTTTCTGCAGCTGAGAAGGTGTCCTCCTTGGGGAAGGACTGGCACAAGTTCTGCCTGAAGTGTGAGCGCTGCAACAAGACCCTGACCCCGGGCGGGCATGCTGAGGTAAGAGCTGCTGGGGTGGACTGGGTGGGAACTGTGCTGGCATGAAGGGAGAGCCTGGTGGGCTCTCCAGGGCTTTTCAGCACCTCAGGGATGGGGACTCCCAGGAAAAGGGCTGGGACGGGTGTCTGATGCCGTGTGGATGGGCTGTCCCTGCGTACTACATGCCTGGGAGTGCACACTGTGGCTTCAAATGCTGCTGCTGTGAGTCATGGTGCTCCAGAGCTCTTGTGCACAGCCCTGGGCAAGCCAGAGAGTGGTGCTGGCACCACACGTGGTGCCGTGGCTGTGCTGCTCCAGTGTAGGCTCCCAGGCAGCTGTGGCAGGGCTCAGTGTGCCTCAGTAAACACTTGAAGCAGCTCCATGCACTAGGCAGGTTTGTTTGGGCATTGCACAGGCTTTGAAGGCGTGTGAGTGCTGAGAGCCTGCAGTGACCTGTGCTTAAAAACACCAAGAATGGGAAATGCCCGGGTTGCCATGGTGATGTGAGCTCTGCACTGGTGCTCTCTGTGCCCTGGGGCTTGTGCTGGAGAATGATGCCACCACCACTACCCAGTGCTTGTGGGCGTGAGGGTGCCATGCCAGCAGTGGCAGGTGCTCAGGCTTGGGAGCAACTGTGTTTTTCCTGTGTGATGCCCTAACCTGACACCCATTCCCTGGGTTTGCTCAGCACCTGTCATGCCATGGTGTCACCAGCTCTTTAGCATGGTTTTAGCAGGCAGCGCAGCTGGGGAGTGGGTGGTGGCAGCAACAGGGACAGCTGTGCTGGCTCCCACCAGCTGGTAGGGGACATTGGTGCTGTCCTGCTGGGGAGGATGGGGCTGAGTGAGTGGATCCATGCTTTGGGCCGGGTTAAGCCCGTAAGATTTGCTGCCTCTCCATATAAGGTTGGATTCTGCTCCCATGGGGGATGGCAGCCAAGCCCCCACTGACTGTGCCGACAGCAGATTTGGCCCTTCCCTGCTTTTTCTCCCTCCTTCCGAGTTTAGGTTGGAAAGGTGTCGCGGGGAGACCAGCTAAATGTTTACCCTCCCCTCTGGCATGGTAACACTGCAAGCACACTGATATTTATGCCTTGCAGTATTTTTCAGCTCCCTTTGGCCAGCCTGCAGCCTGCTCACTCCCCCAGCCTTACCTCCAGCTGTCCCTGCCCTCCTGTTCAGCACAGCACCATGTGGGGAGGTGAGGGAAGGGACAGCACCTCTGCTCAGCTACCACCCTGCCCATTTTGGGCAAGGAGGCCATGCCCTGCAGCAAGGGGATGGAGGGCTGAGATGCTGGGTTGAGCTGAGCAGGCAAAGGGTGGGTTCCTGTCTGAGAATGGGCTCCCAGTGGGTTTTCTACACAAGGCAGTGTGTGTGGCAGCCCTGCTGGCCCCCTGCTCCAGCCACAAAAACTCTTTCTTTTCTCTTGGACTTGGTTCCAGCTGGCCCATGAGAAACGGCTGTGAGGAGCTCCGGAGCTTATCGCCTGCTTCATGCCTTCCTGTGATAATCACCCCAGCCGATAGCAGGCCTGATAGCAGCTGGGCTGGGACTGGTGCCCACATGGGGCCTCTGATCTCAGGCCAAGGCAAGGGGGAGGCAAAGCTCGGTGCTCCCACAGTGCTCTGTGCATGATAATGGCCTGACTGTGCACAGGATGCTGAGGGTGAAGTGATGCCTTGCTGGGTCCCAGTGGCACATCACTGGGTCAGGGCTTGGAGACACCTCTTGGCTGAGCTGCCATGGGGTGCTGGAGCTCCAGCCCTGTGGCATGGCATGCACAGAACAGCCCAAATGTTTGATACGTGTGAAACCTGTGAGTGCTTGGGGTGGGATAGGCTGTTGCTGCAGACCTCAGTGTGTTTTAGGGTGTAGGCACAGCCGTGGTGGTCTCTGAACACCAGTGGGGGTGAAATCGATCCTGAGGGAACCGTGGTCACCGCTCAGCATCCTAACACTCCCCTCTCTCCTCAGCACGACGGGAAACCCTTCTGTCACAAGCCCTGTTACGCCACACTGTTCGGCCCCAAAGGTACGTCCATGCCTCCCCATGCCTGTGTGGCCATGCTCAGGGCTGCAGAGGGGCCAGGTCCCCTTATCCCCACTGGTGGCTGTACAAACACTCCAGGAGCCAGGCTAGCACAGCCTGAGCATCAAGCCAGCAAATTGTAGTCCCAGCCCTGCTGTCCCCTTGTGCAGCAGAGGGAGAGGAGAGCTGCTCGAGGGAGGGAGCAAGAGATTCATCTTGACAGCAGCCTTTTTTTTTATATATGTAAAAAACGAATTCCCGTTCAGACAGAAGGTGGAGTCACTCTCCTATCCCAGATTTGGCTGGAGAAAGCTTGGGTTAGGAGAAAGCAAGCCAGGGCTGAGGTGCAGTGGTGTTTGCACTGGCCCTTGGCTCAGTGGGGCTGGGGGAGGTGGGACAGGGGTTTGGGGGGTGGATAGAGATCTCAAGTGCTCGCAGGCCACCACAGCCTCTCTCTGCCCCTCTGCAGGGGTGAACATTGGCGGCGCTGGCTCTTACATCTATGACAAGCCACAGATCGAGGGGCAGACTGCTCCAGGACCCATCGAGCACCCAGTGAAGGTGGAGGAGAGGAAGGTGAATGCTGCACCTCCCAAGGGACCCAGCAAAGGTGAGGGGCAGGACAGACAGCCTGGCCCTTGGCCGTGGTGAGCAGCCAGTCCAGAGCCACCACATGGTGTGGGGTTTGTGCGGGGGGGTCTTCCACATCCATGTGTTCTGGCTGAGATATCCCCCCCAATTCCTACACCCATGTCCTCTCTTCTTTCAGCCTCCAGTGTCACCACCTTCACCGGGGAGCCCAACATGTGTCCACGCTGTGGCAAGAGAGTCTACTTTGGTAAGGTGACGAGCAGGCAGTAGGTGCATGCCAGGGTGGGGCATGGCCCCACAGTGCTGGGGCTCCATACTGGTCCTCTGGGGCATGCAGAGTGGGAACAGGGTTTGGCTCAGATGGGGTTGGGGTGCAGAGGAATGTGCCTGAGGAGCCTGCAGGGATGGGTCCTCTTGGAGAGGCTCCTGGGTGCGGGGTTCCCCTTGCTGCCACATCACAGATGGTAATAGCTGTCCTCAGCCATCCTCTGTCACCTGCAGGGCAGGGGAGAGGTGTTGGAGGCTGGGGTGCACAGGGCTCTCTCAGGATTTTGTATGCAGAGGTGATGTCCCCATGGGGAGTGATTCCCCTCAGCATGTGTGCAGGGGACTGGTGTGACCCTCCCTTCTTGTCCCACTGTAGCTGAGAAGGTGACTTCGCTGGGGAAGGACTGGCACCGTCCCTGCCTACGCTGTGAGCGCTGCAGCAAGACGCTGACCCCAGGAGGCCACGCCGAGGTAAGGGTGCCCCATCCCCAAGAGCCCTGGGAAGCACACAGTGGGATGCCAGTGTGGTATGGCTGAGCTGTGCCAAGCCATCCCAGTGGGCAGCCCCTGCCTTTGCAGGAGGGCAGGGCTGGGAGGAGCAGCTCCTCAGCTTGGGGGAGTGCTGGGGTGTCTGCAGGGGACAAGCAGAGTGAGAGAGGTGCCCAGCCAGGGGAACACATCCTAGGGACTGGATTTTCTCTGGTCCTCCACCCCAGGTAAAATGCTTTTTTCTCTGCCCTGCACAGCATGATGGACAACCATACTGCCACAAGCCCTGCTATGGAATCCTCTTTGGGCCAAAGGGTGAGTACCTGGGGCTATGCGGGGTGGGAAGCCAGTCCAGGGGCACCTGTCCCAACTGGGCTGCCACTCTCGAGGGGACATCTCCCTGGAGCGTGTCAAATTCCCACCTGGGTCCTCAGCCTCCTGCATCTTCTTCTGTGCAGGTGTCAACACCGGCGCTGTGGGAAGCTACATCTACGACAAAGATCCTGAGGCGAAGAACCAGCCCTAGATGGCATCTCCTGCCCACCTGCCTGCACGCTCTGTGCCCCTGTACTAACCTCCTACTCACAGCTGGTCACAGAGCTGTGCCCTCTCTGCTGTCTCTACTCTGGGCAGAACAGCCCTGCCTCTGGATTATAAATCATAGTCTCTAATATAAGCTTCAGTGTTTAATGGCAAAGTTAGAAGGTATTTTTGGTGGTTCCCAATGTGCTCTGTCCTCCCCAGCCCCCTCCCACCAGCCCCCCAAGCATGGGAGGCAGCAGGGCAGGTGTGGGGATGTCACCATGTGCAGGAGACAGCGGGTGGCACCCAAGGGGCTGGGGGTGGGAGGAAGGTGGTGGCAGAAGTCCCACCATAGGAGGGTGCTCCATGCTGCCTGCTGCACAAATGTGTCCTGCAGCACTTGAGGATATGGGGTATGGGTCAGGGAGTCCAGCCCTGTTCCTCGTCAGCTGCTGGGGGTGTGTGTGCCATCTGGCAGTGCTGCCCTTCTCCTGGTCCTTCCCAGGCTCCATGCCCTGGCTCTCACACTCCCCGGGGTCCACAGCTGACCCTGTCTGCCACTGGGTCTGGTACCTTCCTACATCCCCATCCTTGCAGGGACACCCAGGCATGTGCCCAACCTGCTCTGCAGGCTGGTTTAGTTGGTGCCACCCGCCCAGCCTGGTCCCCCACAGCGGCAGAGCCTGTGCTGGGGGCACCTGGCAGCTACAGCCCTGGTGGAGTGGGCTCTCCCCACCTTTGGAGGACAGAGCACATTGGGCTGGTGGCTCTGCAGCAGGATGCCCACCTGCTTCCCAGAGCTGGAGGTTTCTCATTGTTGTTGTTTATTTATAAGCGGTTGTAAATGTGCCCCTTGCTTTGGAGAATGACACATGCCCCCCAACTCACCCATCCCCCTTTGTGCACACCCAGCCCTACTGCTGCCCAGGAGACCGGGGAGGGGCTGCTGCAGGAGACCCACCAGGGCAGCGAGCCCTGGGTGCCAGCACCCTGCTCTCTCCAGGCTCCCTGCACTGCTGTGGGGCTGACTTTTGTTATTTGCTGACAATAAAGGTTTTGAGAGATGCGTTGTACAGCTCAGCCATGGCCGGAGGTGGGGGAAGCAGTGCACACCACGCAGCATCCCTCCAATCCTGAACAGTGTGGCACCCTGCTGCTGCAGTCCTATCCCAGCAGGCTCCTCCTGGGGCTAGACTGAACAGCCTCAGTCACAGCTGAGCCTCAGCTGCCCAGGCCAGAACTCACATTGCTGCAGCGTGAGCCATGGCTGCTTCCCAGGCTGTGAGCACAATGGGCAGGTAGGAGGCTGTGCTGGCCCTGCAGCTGGGATGGGATGGAATCCTCCCTGGCTTTGGAGGGTGGAAGACTAATGGAGAGAAGTTAGGGAGCAGGTGACACTGTTCCCCCCAGCTTGGGCTTGCTGAGCAGGCACAGTATCTGAGCGGGGCTGCCAGTGGGAAAGCTCAGCCTGGCAGCAGCAGGCAGGCATGCAGCATGGGGGCACTGGCCCACCCT